AGCCCTACTTTCTGTCCGGTGCTGCGCCCGCCATCAGGGACGAGGCAGAAAATATGTGCGTGCATGTGTGTGCAGGTGCATACGCGCCACTGCAGCGTGCATGTGGGTCCTCGCTCTCTACAAGGACCGCCGTACTCTGTGCTCTCTGGCCCTCCCACCTGGGCTGTCTCTGGTCTGTGAAGCAGGAACTGGAGAATACGGATGATCCCTGCAAACCGTCTCTGCTGCCGCCGGGAAAATGAGTCCAGGGCAAAACTGAAGTCCCTACATTGTCTTCGGAAAGGTCTTGGCTTTCCTGGGGCTCAGGTTGGAGGCTATGTTGTACCAAGGTCATCCAGCCCCTACCCCGGGGGCCAGGTCCCAAATTCCCACCTTCAAAGTGACCCTTGGGGCTAAGGGAGCAGTGGCCTCTGTGCTCTGAAGAGCCTTGTGTAAGGCAGCGGAGGGCCGTGGTTACGAACACAGACGGGTCGACAGCCTGGGGTGAAGGCCGGCTCTGCCTTCACTGCTATGTGACCCTAAACACATTGGCTGATCCCTTTTTGCTTCAATCTCACCTCAAAAATGGGCATAACAGTGCTTACTTCATAGGGCTGTTATGAGGATTGATTAAATGAGGTCAAGTGCATGAAGTACGTAGAAAGGTACCTGGCACAAACTAAGTACTGCGTGAGGGTTTTTTATTCCTCAGGGTTCCTGGGGAGAGGAGCACAAGGAGGGCGGCCAAGCAGGTGCAGCTGTGAGCGCCCCACCCCTGCACCGATCTGCGAGGCCTGGCTTTGATCTGTTTTACACAGTACCTGGAGGCGCCGCATACATTTTGTTTAAAACGATCTGTGGCTTTAAAAGATCTGCAGCCACAATGCTGAGACACCAAGAGCAGCAGCAGGCCTTGGAGAGAGATGCTCACCTGCTTTTGGGAGGCCGAGGAGCGAGGGAGCCACAAGGAGGGCTACGGTTAGGCAGCATGAAGCCCAGGGAGCGAGCCCACGCTATGCTGACATCAGTCACTCTGTGGCCTGATGTTGGCCCCCGTAAAGGGCAGGTCCTGACGTGAGTGTGTTGATCACGTGAATAAGAAACGCACAGTCATGCAGATGAGCGTGACCGTGTGGGACTGCCCACGTGTACCTTCAGGTGACTGTGTTTCACCATCCGTCACCAGGGGTCTGGAGTTGTTCCAAGCAGCCCCAAGGTGTAAAAGCCCAGGGGGCTCTGCCCGACCTGGCCATCTCCGCCTGTGTGGCTCGTACTGGAAGGGGCCGCCCTCAGGGCCCAGGGTTTCCTTCCCTTCTCTTCCTGGGGTAGAGTTTCAGGGGCACGGGTGGGGGACGGCCAAGGCTGAGTCACCCGCTCCCCGCTCCCCGGCACCTCTGCGTGTGTGTGTGACGGTGACCCCAGGCAGGCCTCTGCTCATTGTTTCCAGCCCGAGGGAAGCAGCAGGTGGAGATGGGGCTGATAAGAGCTGATTGTGCGACACTCAATTCTGGGTAAAAGTCCCTCCACCTGACTTTTCCCATCTTCCTCCTACTCTTCACCTCTGGGGTCTGACTCATGAATTTCCACCTGGTCCAGGGGAGGGGGTGATGAGCTGCTGAGTGTGCAGTGGGGGGAGGGTGGGGTGACCTCAAGCGGTCGTTTCAGTCATCTCCCTGCCACTGGGCAGACAGGGCATAGACTGGTCCAGCCAGTGGGAACATTTGTGTCTACTTTGGACTCTTCAGGGAGATGAAGACTGATCTCATTTTAGCTGAGAGGCCTGAGGTGAGGGTGCACAGTAGAGAATACATTTGAATGGGATATTTGGGGGACACTTTCAGTGGAAAGAGCACTGAATTTGGACTCATGAGGCCTGGGCTCTGAGATCCAGCACTAACAGATTTTTTCTGTGCCTCAGTTTCCTCACTTCTAAAATGAAGTGGGCAACACCTACATCTCTAAGATCATAGATGTGAGATTTCTTGGCTCACCCTAGAGAGCTGTGTGGATACAGGGGGTTAGTATGGTAAGGACATCTCTTTTATCCAATCACTGACCCCCTTCCACATCTGGAAAAACGGAGGCTCAGAGCAAAATGACGCATCTGAGATCCCGGGCTGGGCACCCTGAGCCCCAGGTGTCACTCAGAACCTAAATCAGTGGCAGCCTTGCCCTGCCAGGCCCCAACGGGTGGCCATCCCCCCAGTCCAGCTGTGGCGTTGACCCAGCCCTGAGGTCAGTGCCGAAGGGGACGTGGGGCCGCATGACTGGCCCCCGATGGCTGGCTATTTGAGAGCCACCCCAGCCCACCCCGGGCCTCACCCTGACGGAGCTCCGCATGGGGCCCAGGTCGTGGTTATAGGCCTCCACGACCAGCACGTGGGATGAGTCCTGCTCCCGGTCCAAGGGCCGGGGCCCTCGCATCAGGAGCCCGCTGCTGACGTGGATCCGGAAGTGGTTGCCTTCGTTACCTGTGTGGAGAGACAGATGAGAAGCATGGACTCTGCCCTGGAGCACGAGCCTCGTGGGATCGTAGGGGTAAAGAAGGGGGGCCCCGCCCCCCAGAATGCTGACCCTGCCCAGAGGTCTCAGGAGCTTGGCTGAAGCCCTCAAAGGCAAGCAGGCCTCTGTCTCGTGCTGCCCTGGCCCGGCTGGGTTTGAAGGAGGGCGTAGAAATTTGCTCTGTACCCTCCTAATGGGAAGCCGGGGGGACTCCTGAAGCCCCATACCCAGAGGTCTCAATGGATTCAATATTTCAGAGGGATCTAAGCATTACAGAAAGAGGAACCAATCCACCTTCTCTGTGGGCGGCTGAAGCCAGGATTTGGTGGACATATTTGGGCTGGTCCAGGGTCCATTCCCATGTCTTGTAGTAATAGCAACTCGGTTTTCCTCTGGGGATCTGCCCTCCTCCACTCTCAGTCCATGTGCCTTGTGACTCATTTTGGGAAGCTGGGGGCACTGCCCTTGTGTCCAAGGCAATAGTGATTGGTTAAGGGATGGACACATGATTCATGCTGGGCCAATGACAATCTCTGGGGAACTTGCTGCTGAAGGATGCCCTGGACCCCAAGACTCCCACTCTGTTAAGTTGATGTCCTACCATGAGACATGAAGAACTTCAAGAGCAAAGCAATCAAATGTAGCACCCAAACTTAAAAGACATCCAACTTGGTGCCAATGATTGAGGAATGGCCCTGCTTCCTCCCTCGTGTGTACCGGACCTGAGGCTTCCTTGGCTTCGCAGCCCAGACCTCTGGTAGCCTAGAGAAGCGCTGCCAAGGGTAGAAGGGCCAGCCCCTGCCGTCTGAGGGCAGCCCACTCACCATGAAGGATACGGTACCACACACGCCCGAACTCGCCCTCGTCGGCATCTGTGGCCTTCAGCTGAAGAAGAATGATATAAGGTAAGTCTTTGAGTTCCACCCCCACAGGGAGAGAAGGTGTTTTTGGAGTTCCTCTCCTTCCCTCCGCACCACTCTGAGTCTGTCCTGCCAAAACCTGTGGTTTTATGAAGAGGCTGGGGTGTGGCATAGGAAAAGGACACATGTCTTTCTCATCCCTCACGAGGACACTTGACCATGTCTCCAGGCTGCCCTGTCTGTGGCAGGGGACCTGCCAGCTCTGTTCTCTGATCCCCCTCTGGGTTCTTGGGGAGCATGAGGAGGCGGGTGATGGATCCAGGCTTGACTAGGTGGTCTCGTGCTCCCACAGTTCCCTCCTTCAGCCTTTTGAGCTCCCAGAAACCTCGCCGAGGCTGGTGGATTGCGTGGCTGCTTGACTGGGTGACCCTGGCCAGGCCACACCTCTCTGTGACATCTGAGAGAGATGGGGCTGGATGAGATGACTCCTCTGTCACCTAACGGACTTTGACGGGTCATGGAAGACTCCTGTCCATTTGGGACTGTGCAGAGGATGCTTCTTTTGTGGCCGAGGACCAAGAACAGGAGGGAGAAGCTAAATATCCCAACCAGGGCTCCAAAAAAAGGTGTGGGCCCCAGGTTCAGGTCCTGGGCAGAGCCACAACTTCCCTCCTGTGTTGTATTTCTAGGAGCTTGGGGGTCCTTGATGGGGAAGCTGCTTAAGACTTAGGCTTCTAAGGAGGCAACTTGTTCCCAGGGAAGCTCTGGTTTCTGGAAAGAAAGGAGGTTAGGGGAGGAGCGCCTCTGTGCATGTGTGTGTTTGTTGGGGGAGGTATGTGTGCGCGTGTGGGGGCGGTATGAGGTGTGTGGAATGTGTGGGTGTGTGAAGTGTGTGGAATGTGTGGGTGTGTGGGGGGGATGAGGTGTGTGGAATGTGTGGGTGTGTGGGGTGTGTGGAATGTGTGGGTGTGTGGGGGTGTGGGGTGTGTGGGTTGGGTGTAGGGGGGATACGGTGGTGTGTGGTGTTTGGAGAGCCACTGCCTGGAGGGTCTCCAAAGGCCCACCCAAACTGCAAGGAGCGCAGCGTTGGCCGTCCCTCAATCTTAGGCTTTCTGAACCCTGTGATCTCTTGGACTTTTGAAAATCCCTCTCAATCCTGGCTTCTGTAGCCACCTTCAAAGGGAAAGTACTTTTCTGGAAAGTTGAAGGAGAACCCTGGAAGGTGTGAGGCCCAGGGACTCGGGAGGGGAGGAGGGGCCTCAGACCCATCTCTCTGCCTGTTCCCACCCCCCGCCCCCTCCGGGAGCCCCTCTCCCCGGTAACCTGGAGGCTGGCAGACACTGAATAGCGACCCGCTGGCGGCTGCAGACCATACCATTCACATGTCCAATGGGGGAAGGTGAGAGCCATAGGGCTGCAGAGGCATTGAAGCCTTCCCCCCGTGCCCTCCCAGCGCCTCCGCCCCTCCGGAGGGCTCCAAGGAGACAGGCTGGAGTGAGGCCCTGGGAAGGCTCAGGCACACAGCTCCCCTCTCCTTCTCCCAACCCAGTTGCCATCCCTACCCTCTTGGGTGTCCCCTCCCCCAAGGCAGAGTCCAAACTCTTCCAGACAAAGCCAGGTCTAGCAGGAGAGTGAAGGGACACTACCCACTCTGTCCAGCCTGGCTGAGGGACACTGGGCACTGCAGAGACCAGGGCAGGTTTGGGTCACAGGTGGCACCGGGGACTCGTTGGGCCTCCTTTGGACAGCGGAGAAGACCTTTCCTCCAGCCCAGGACTGCAGAGGGCCGGCTCTGAGGTCAGTGCTCCGGGGACTGCCGGGGAGGGCCTGCTGAGAGCAGGCGGACCCTTGCTGGGGTACCGTGAGGGTGTTCTCGGACCCGGGGGCCCTCTACTTCTGTAGAGAGTGGGAGTCCTAATGAGAGGCAGTGCCTAGCCCGAGGCCACACAGCAAGATGCGCTCTGCTCACAGGCCCTGCTCTGTGGAGCTCTGGGGCAAGAAAGAAGGTTCTAGACTAAGCTAACAGAGCTCTGTCCAGAGTGGGTCTGCCGGGGTGCCCTGGACGCCAGGAGTATGGGAGACATCACCTGCCCTTACGGTGATTCCTAGCCGTGGCCTGGCAGAGGCCTCCTTTCCCAGAACAAGCAGGCCTAGCTGGTCAGAGGGGACATCAAGGGGCCTGGCAGCTGGCCCAGTGTGTGTTCCAGGGAGGGTGGCTTGCTGTTTTTAAGCACTTTGGAATCTCTTGCTTCTAAGGGAGTTACTCAGATGCTTATAGCCTCATGGATCTCTTTATTAAAGTGCTTCCCCAAGGACTGAAGCCAGGACCTGCTTTGCTATCCTGAGAAGGTCTGCAGATCCATGCGAAGGCCTGAAATAACAGTAGGACTAGCAGGATTGTGACTTCTCCCACTTCAGACTTCCCTTTTCGTACTCCCAACCAAGCGCAGCCCAGGGCGGGATAGAGAGACAGCCAGTTTCCTTCCCATGGGAGGTGGTAGTGGGCATGTCCCATCCCCCCTCCCTGCTCAGATTCAAAGAAGGGCCAACCCATGTATGGCTGCCTGGCCAGCACACTCTCTAGGCGATGCATGCAAGGCGGAGGCCCTGGGCAGCGAGACGGGCATCAGAGTTTCCAGCTGGGAGCTGGGAGGCGTCCTGTTCTGCCTGGAAATGCTGGGTGGAGTGGTGGCGGGGAGTGGGTGGGAGGTGTGGTGGGGTGCACTGGGTGCCTTTAGTCTGCCAGGCACAGGGCAAGGCTGTGGGCAGGAAGGAGGCTGGCACAGAGAGCCCAGAGTCAGGTGCCATGGCTGTTGGTAAGTGCCTGTGGAGGGGACTGAGGGGGGCCAGGAGGGGGGAAGCGGGGTGGCCCCTGTCCACTTCCTCCTGCCTGCTGACATGGACTTTTCGTAGTCACCTGCCGTAGGTCCTGCCGAGTGCAGGTGCAGACTGTGAGTTAGATGAGGCTGCAAGTTGGGGAAAGAAGGGACTCTGCGATCCCCAGTCTCACCAAAGTCTCCAAGATCAAAGAGAAAGAAGTGATTATTATTGGACCATCTTTGGGGGTTCCTGTCCTGTATATGTAGAAACCAAAGATCACAAGTGCTGATTTGCAAAGCTGGATGTAGCTTGCTTATATGTTTTGCTTGGCCTGCTGCAGTGTTTTAAATATTCGAAAATCCATTCTGAATCGTTTGGAATCGAGTTTACTTGGTCTTTGCAGTGTTTTCTTTCTCTTCCTCCCCCCCCCCCACGTTGACTAAATTTGAATTAGTTGCCAACATTTAAACATCAGGAAAGTTTGTCTAAAAATGCGGATTTCTGGCTTCTCTTGGAAAATCGGAAGAGCTGGCTGCACTGGGCCTGCAGCCTGGCATCCCGTCGGCCCGGTGCACCTCCTGCATCTCCTTGACTGTGTTCTCCGGGCACAGCTGCCCACCTGCCACCTGCCCGCCTGCCCGCTTTGCTCGCGTGTCATCCACCAGCCTGGCTCTGTAAGCACTTTTATTGGTAACCAAAAGCTCAGCCTCATCTACAAGGACTGCCTGCCCTCCTCCCTCTAATGGGACAGTCTTAAGTGATAACAGGTAACTGGTGTCTGTGTGGGGTTCGAGCCCCACCTTGTCAGCCCCGTTGTTCTCTGTGGGTTATTTCCCACCTGTTCTCAGAGCGGCTCAGGGAGCCCTGGAGAGGGGTGGGAGCCGGACTGTTGGCGAGGCCATGGGCCCGGCGTCGGGAAACCTGGTTCTGGCTCAGTGTGCCCTTGCGCTTGGCATCCCCTTATTTGGGCCTCAATTCCTCACTTTTCATGGGAGCAGCTTGGACTGTCTTGGGAAGCACCATCAGGAATGCCCTTGGGACCAGGCAGGTGACATAAGGTGTGCGGTGGGCCTGTGGGGAGGGTGGTGAGCTGGGGGCTAGTGTCCCGTCTAAAGGAGGCAGCGGGCCACTCCGCTGCAGCCCCCAGGTGCCAGGCACAACTAGCCTCATGTTGTCAGTGTTGAAACTCTGAAATTTCAAGAGATGCCAGACATTCAGATATTTATATGAAATCTCTTCTTTCTGTTTGTTTGTGGTTTTAAAATCACAATTTACATTTATACTGCAAGAACCAAATGAAACATGCTTCCCCCCCGCCCCACACCTTTTGCAGACTTGGCACCAGGCATCAGATAATTGCTAGGGTCCTCGCCAGCTTGGCATCCTATAATCCGTGACTCATTCCTGGTCGCAGAGCAAGTTATTGATGGAGTTGGTCTTAGATCCCAGGTTTTCAGTTCTAAGACTACTGTAATTCATGAGAATTGATTTTTAAATGCTGGAAGGCATTGCCTTTCTGGCTCTTCCACTACAGGTGGGTAGGGAGATATAATAGAAAGAGGCCCTGAGTTCAGGCCCAGCTCCATTGATTTTTCTGCTGTGTGACCTTAGACTTGCCACCTTGGCAGGCCTCATTGTTCTATCCTGTACAATGGCGGTGACGCTATCTGCTGCTAGTTTAGCAGTGCTCAGCCCCCATCAGGGTTCCCTGCCCAGCCCTGGGTCCAGCTGACTCGCCTCTGAGCTTCTGTCCCATTCCTATTGCAGGAGCCATGAACACAGAGGGCCCCAGCCCCCTCATGACTCCCGTCACTCCGGGGAGCCCTGTGGAGGCAGCTGACCCCCTCCCCGTGCTCATTGCCTTGGCCTGCATCTTCCTCCTGCTGGCCTCCTGCCTGCTCTTCATGACCCTTTGCAAACCAGCTGCGCTGGACCCAAGCCGCCAGGCTCGGGAGTGCATGCCCCACCACCCCGGGAGCCCCAGCGAGCCCCGGCTCCGGCTCTGGAAGCGCCTGGGCTCCCTGCGCTGCTCCCTGCACAGCTTCCGTCGTGGCCGGCCCGCACCTCGACGCTCCCTGCCAGACCACAAAGACAACCATGATTGGGAGGGCACGGAATCTACCAAGATGTGACAGGTTGTTCCCCACCATGCAGGATCTACCTTCGGACCCTCCTCCTTTGGACCCAGCCTCGCACCACAGGCTGCAGGAAGACAGTGGCCCAAACATCCAGTGTGCCCAGGTTCATGGCCTTTCTCAGAGACAACCCTGCAAGAATACCTTGCTCTCTGCAGACCCTCTAGCTGCTGCCTGCTGCAAGGCTGCTGGACTGATTGTGGAGAGCCTGCATCTATCTGGACCCTTAGCCTGAGGAAAGTACATACCAGCTGGGGTCCCCAAGGTTCCTCTCTGGCAACCGGGCACCAACCGCCTCCAGGGAGCGGGGCCCCTGCTTCCCAACAGCAGCTTCACCACCTTCCAGTGCCAAACCCAGCTCAGATTTCAGTGCGAGTTGCCGAATGGCCAAAGGTTCTCTCCAGCCAAGTGAAAACTCAGCCCACACTGGGGGCAAGGTACTGTCCTGCCCTCTGGGCCAACCCAGGGCCCAAGGCTAAAGGGAACCCAGGGACTCCTCTCGGATTTCCTGTCAGCATTCCCCTGGGAATCCCTGGGAGCAGGCGGCACCGTCATGGTGGATCTGACGGACGCCAGGGTGCCTGCTGAGAGGAGGGACGAGTGAGACTCACTGCTGGCTAGCCAGTCACCATCTCGGCTGTCCCCTTTCAATGCACCACATCGGGATGGAACAGGAAGGGGCTGAGAATGGGTTAGGGAGCTCCTTGCAGAGGCCAGGCCAGGTGCTGTGTCAGAGTGGCAGGGGGCTCTGCCAGCACCTGCAGAAGGTGATGCAACCTGAGGACACATCATAGGGGCTCCCCGCCTCACCCAGAGAAGGTGGCAGCCTCCCTGCAGGCTGAGTTGGGCAGGGGTTAGGGGGGTCCCGAGAAATCTGCAGGACATCTCTGGGACTTCAGACCTGGACCACACTAGGCGTTCTTTTTGGCGATTGCTTCATTGACTGGCTACCTATCAAAGCAATCCCCAAAAGGGCAGGCTTCTTAGAATCCCTAACTCTTAACCTCTCCGCACAAAGCCAGGGCTCTATGCTTTGGCTGGGTCCCACACTGGGGAAGAGGCAGATGGGGTCTGACTGCTGGCCAGGGTCATCTTGGGCTCGGCCACGGGGCTGCCCACCTCACCCTGCCGTGACCCGTAGTACAGCTCGCCAGGTCTTCTCACAGAGTGAGTTCCAGGTTACTACTCCCCAGCTCCAAAGCTATCACTGGCTCCCTAATGCAGGCTGGATAAAGCTGGAGCTCCTTAGTCTGGTGGTCAATGTGCTCCACGGACTGGCTCTAAACACTCTCTCTAGCCTTATCGTGACCCAAGACACCAGGCAAACCGAGCTACCTGTCCTCCCCTGGCTGTGCCTGACGCTTCACAAGGCAACCCCTCGGTGAGGCCCTCTTTGCTCTCCAGCTGAAAGTCACTTTCTGCCTGGAGCCACCCCTACTCTTTGCACCTCTGGGAGAAAGGACAGGGATCACGTCCCTTTGGCAGGGAGGGTCAGCCTTGTCTATCCATGTCTTCTCCCTTCTATGAGCCTGGGAGACTGTGTCCAGCCCCACTCTCTGCCCCACCAGCTGGGGCGCGGACCTATGAGGCTCTGTTTATTGAGCAAAGGAAGGCCCAGTCTGGACGCCCCCACATCCCCAAAGCCTAAGAAGTCCTCTTCTTCCCTCAGATGCCCCTAGAGAGAAGCTTTTTCCCCAAGCAGGCCCTGTGGGAGAGGCCCGCTGTGCCTTACTTCCAGGTCAATATGTCATAGAGTGAGTCCTGCTTGGACAGAAACTTACTTTCAGGAGAATCACTAGTGCCTGACTTGCTCCCTAGGAAATGGGGAGACTCAGGGCTGCCCTGTATCACTGGCAGGGTCTAGGGTTTCGGTCTGAGTCATGTTGTGTAATAGAAACCAATTTTTGAGTTTAGAAAGTGGGGCAGGCTTCTCCCAATAGGCTGTTACCCCCTCCTTTCCAGCTTGTTAACCTCTTCCTGGTGCCCCCTGAACCCCCACAAGGCCTCCCTGAGACATCCCAGGAGGAGTCCCTCCTGCAGTCAGTCGCCCTTGTCACCCCCTGGCCAGGCAGGTGCCCTGCTTGGCCTAGGTGTCCTCTTCCTGGAGACTAGGGTGGGGGTAAGGTTGCCCTGAGGCCTGAAGGAGAAGGAAAGGCTGGGGACGGGGAGGAGGTCTCTCACAGGCCTGGCCATACCCCCAGGTATGTTCCCAGGCTGGTCCTGGAAGACCCGCCAGTGGGCCAGGGAGGCAGGTAGTCGGCTACGGGAGAGGTCCCTCCGATCCCCCAGGGGGAGACTCAGAGAGGGAGAACCTCCTCCTCCCTCCTTCTGGAACCAGCTCCAGGCCCATACAAACCCCATGGTTTCCTGGACTCCTGGTGCCTCTGCAGTCAGCACCCTGCCCCCAGCCCTTGTCTGCCTGCCTCCTGGTCCCGAGGCAGGGTGGTGGGCACACTCCCAGCCTCCCAAGCCCAGAGCCCGCCCCAGCGGACAGGCCCAGATTTGCTGTGTTTGGCTCAGCCTCCTAGTCGGAAACCCTCCCAGCTGATGAAGAGGGCAATTCATTCCTGGCCTCCCTCCCCACCCAGCAACGGGGCGCTGGGGGAGGGTGCCCGGGCCTCATTTTTAGGTCCTCTCCACCCTCCCGCTGAGTCTGCTCCCTTTCTTCTTGTGCCTGTTTACTTCCCAAGAGGGGAGCTTCGGCCAAGGGCCCCATGAAAGCCGCTCTGTTCTGGGCCTCGCTGGACCCTGGCTCTCCCAACTCCTTTCTGGGAAAATGTGACATCGCCATCTCCTCCCTGCTCTGAAAGGCCCGTCTGGGTGGGGGACAAGGAGAGGGCTGTGGGGAGGGAGGGGGGAAGAGGGAGGCCAAGGCTTCTGTGTTTTGTTTTTTTTTGTTTGTTTTTGAGGGGGGAGCCAGGGCCCTGTCCTTGACTTCATAACCGGGGGCCCAATCTCCCCAGGAAGGAAGGAGAAGGGGGCCTGGGCAGCCCTTTCCCGACAGCACCGGCTACTCCTGGAGTAGCAGCTGGGCCCTCTCCTGCTTCCGCCCGTCCCTGCCACGATGCCACGGGGCCTGAGTGTGGCCCCCAGCCCTCCAGCCCCCCCAGGGGGCCACGGCCACGTACCTGCACGATGCTGTGGCCCTCTGGGATGTCCTCAGGGACACTGGCCTCGTAGCTGCTCTGCAGAAAGATGGGCCGGTTGTCATTCACATCCAGGACAGTGACAAACACGGTGGCAGTGCCAGTGCGCCTCTTGCCTACGGGGCCGTTATCTGTGGGAGCGGATTGGGGGGGAAGCTGTTAGCAGCCGCCCGAAGGGCAAATTTCCTGGGCACATGCCCTGCTCACCCCAACCCTGTGGCCTTTACAGGGTGGCTCTTCTCCTTTTTAGATTAGCAAGAACACTAACAATATCTAGCGCATCCCAGGTACTACTCTAGTTCACTCAGTCTCTCAAGCAACCTGTGAAGTAGGCACTATTATTATTATCGTCCCCATTTTACAGAGAAAGGAACTGAGGCATGAAGTGGATCGGATGGCAGGCCCTGAGATAGACCCACGTCACATCCCTGGGAATTGGTGAATGTAAGCTTATGGGGGGAAAAGGTCTTTGAAGATAGAATTAATTAAAACTCTCGAGATAACACATCCTGGATTACTGGTGAGGCGTAAATGACAACGGTCCTTATAAGAGAAAGGCTGAGGGACAAAGGAGCATGTGCCAAAGGAGAGGGCCACATTAGGTCAGAGGCAGAGACTGGAGTCCTGTAACCACAAGCCAAAAACACTTAGAGCCACCGGGAACCCGCAGAGTCTAGGAAGGGGTCTCCCCTGGAGCTTCAGGCAGGAGTGCGACACCTTCATTTAACTTCTGGCCTGCAGAGCCAGGAGAGGATGAATTTCTGTTCTTTCGAGCCATGAGCTTTGTGGCAACTTGTTACAGCAGCCTAGGGAACAGATTCGGGCACCGAGGTCACGAGCCCAGCTGCGGTCGGGACCAGGTGGGCCAGGTCCGCGGGGCGGGTGCCCGTCTGGGCGGGCCCCGCTGCAGGGGCCGCTGTGCCTGCTCCAGCCCACAGCGGATAGGCAGAACGTGGGCCCAGGGACGCAGGTCTGACTTCTCGAGAGAAATTCAACATGAGCTTTTAAATAAAATCTGGTTTTCAAACGTTCACAACTGTCATTCATTATGAAACGTGAGGTGGGTCAAACACACTCATGGGACCGATTTGGCCTATGGGTTTGCCACATTCGGGGATGTGAGCCCTGCTTGGTCTTTTAAGCATAAGAGAGCGAGGGGCTCTGCCCCATCAGCGCCCTGCAGGACCCGCCCAGAGTCGGGAGGTGGCTCAGCCCCACGGGGAGCTGTTGGGTCACCCTCCCTAGAGAAATGAGCTGTGGCCAACACTTCATGTCTAGGCAAGGACCATCGCCCCAGGGAGGAGTAGGGACAGCCAGAGTTGGCTGCGGACCAGTGCTGACTCTGTCCCTTCTTCCCCAAGCCAGCCGACCGCACGTGGCGGTGCAGTCATCTGTCCCGAGTCATCCTGTCCTCCTGAGCTCCTCTCCGGGACCAGCCTCCCGCCACCCTGCGGTCCTGCTTCCTTGCCCTGGCTGGGGACACTGTGAGCTGGCAGGCCCATGAAAGGCCTGAGCCTGAGCCCTGTGCTCCTGCTGGCCAGTGCCTGTCGTGGAGGCTGGACTCCGTGTGGATGGCAGGTCTCCAGGGGATGGTGTGGCTGCCCCAGGAGGGAGGAGAGCAGGGCAGAGCGAAGATGCCTGTGGGCGTGGGCAGGCTGGGGAGGGACCGCCAGCTGGAAACAGTGAGGCACAGAGAGCACGTTCGCCTTCCACCATAGCTCACTACAGACATGGAACTGGGTGCCTCTGGGAGGACCAGTGCCATCTGGGAGGCAAGGTCTCATCATACCCTTCTTCCTGTCCAGAGCCCTGTGGCCTGGAAACCAGAGACCAAACTTCCAGCTCGACATC